TCTTCAGTAAATGTTGTTTATGGTCTTCATATCGTTTAGCTTGGACGAAATTCTCTTTTATAGGCATCAATCCATTTACTTTTCTTCCAAACATCAATTCTGAAGGTGACTTAACTTCATCTGAAATAAGAGAGTTACGATATTCCAGTAATACTAAATATAGATCCTTGTTGTCAACTACAGCTTTTTCTAACATTCGCTTGACAGTTTGAATATGTCTTTCAATTCCATTAGATTGTGGATAATTTGGACTTGAAGTTCTGGTTTCAAAATTCTACCTTCTTGCAAAATCTTTAAATTTTCTACAATTATATTGTGGACCATTATCCGAATATACTATTTTCGGAATACCATGTCTTGCAAAAAGTGATTTCAATTGCTTTATCACTGCTACACTAATAATAAGGTTTCTTAACAGTCCTACCAGATCGAGTGACGTAGTTATGTCCATTTGAAAAATTTGATGATACTATACCTCTTTCACTATTTGGTGACACAACACTTCCATTTTAAATCTTCCAAATGTCCAATTTCAACATATTTGCTAAAATAATCTATAACTATTAGATAATCCCTTCCTTGAAAGTAAAAGATATCTGTTCCCAATACTTCCCATGGACCATTAGGTATTTCTTTAGATATCATTGGTTCTTTAGTATTAGCTTTTTGTAAACTTAAAACATGTTTGCACAATTCAGTACCAAATCTTCAATTTCTTTCGACATTCCTGGCCAATATAATATTTCTCTTGCTTTGATTTCTTGCATTTTACTACTCCTAAATGACCATAATGAATTCTGTTTAACATATCTTTTCGTAAACTTCTTCGTACAACAACACAGGAATTTTTAAATATTAATCCAGTTTCTTCTGATAGTTCTTCTCTAAAGTTAAAATATGGTTTTGCCAGTTCTGGAACCATACATTTTTCATCTGGCCATCCAGTTTTAATTAATTTTCTTAAAACTTGTAGTTCTTCATCTTTTTCTGTTTCCAGTTGAAAAACTTCCATTTTACCATTAGACATTGGTATACATTATACAACTAATCCAACATGAGCTTCTATTTCTCCTTCAAAGAAATCAGATCCTTTATCAGTGAATGATCTTGATAATGCATCAGCTATAAAAAGTTCTTTTCTTGGTTTATATTTTATCTCAAACTGATATGGCTGTAATCTTATACGCATTCTTTGTAGTCTTACAGGACATTTATGTAATGGCTTTTTGAAAATTGATTCCAGTGGTTTATGATCACTTTCCACAGTAATATTTTTTCCAAATATATACTGGTGAAATTTCTCACACGCAAATACAATAGCTAAAGTTTCCTTTTCAATTTGAGCATAATTCTTCTGTGTATCTGTTAATGCCTTAGATGCATATGCCACTGGTAAATTATTCTGCAGTAAGACTGTTCCTAGTCCTTCTTGAGATGCATCTACAGATAAAACTACTGGCATCTTTATATCATAATACTGTAAAACTGGTTTATTTACTAAGATATCTTTTAGTCTTTTAAATGCTTTTTCATGTGTTGCATTCCAGTTCCAGATAACTTGTGTTTTCAACAAATCTCTTAAACATGATGTCAATTCTGATACATTAGGTATAAATCTAGAAACATATGTAATCATTCCTAGGAAAGTTTATAATTCTTTCAAATTTTTTGGTGGTTTTTATATCTAGAATAGCCTTAATTTTGTCTTCATCTGGTTTTAAACCATCTTTAGAAAATATATGTCCCATATATTTCACTTCATTCAGCCCAAATTTACATTTATTTAAATTAAAGTTAACATTATTTTCTCTGGCTCAGTCCAACAACTTCTTTAATCTTGAATCATGTTCTTTTTTATCTTTACCCCAAACTAATAAGTCATCTATATACATTTGAACTCCTTCTAAATCACTAAAATTTCAGAAAAACTTCTGTGGAAAACTTCTGGTGATGAACTCAGTCCATATGGCAACCTCAAAAAACAATATCTACCAAACGGAGTGTTAAATGTAGTAAATTCACAACTTGAATCTGACAGTTTAATTTGCCAAAATGCTTTGTTTGCATCTAAAATACTAAAGACCTTTGCATTTGTCATTTGAGATGAAATTTCTTCAAAGGTTGGTTTGTGATAATGTTCTCTCAGTATATTTTGGTTAAGGTGCTGAGGACCTAAACACACTCTTAAATTTCCATCCTTTTTCCTTACTACCACTAATGAATTCACGAATTCTGTTGGTTGGTTAACTTTCTTTATAATACCATCTTTTTCCATTCTTGCTAATTCCTTTTTTAATGGATTTAATAAGCTAAGTGGAATTTTCCTACAGGGTTCTATTTTACCAACAGCTCTTGGTTTTAATTTAATATGATATGTATATCCAGTTAAATTCCCTGTTCCTTTAAACAAATCTTGATATCCTTTTAAAGATTCTGGTAACTTTTCATTGGAATCAGGATTTACTATACAAACCCTTTGTATTAGGTTTAATTTTTGCAATGTAGGTAAACCTAAAATAGCTGGAACAGTTTTATCATATGCTACAACTTGAAATTCTATTTCATCCTTGTCCCCTTTCGATGTTTCACATAATAATTTACATTTTCCAACTACATCAATTGTAGTACCATTGTAATTATTTAAAGTGACTTTTGATTTAGTCAAACATTTCTTTCTTAAATTTAATTGTTTAAATTTAGGCAATGGTAGCACATTACACTGAGCTCCAGTATCCAACTTAACAAATAAATATTTAGATATGTTTACTTTTAGTTTTTCAAACCATTCAGTTTTATTTTTAGAAAATGGATTTGTATCTTCTACTGACCCTAAAATATATTCATTACCATTATTATGTAACTCATGCTCTAAATTATTCTGAACAACATTAACATTTTTATAAGTGCACATTTTAGAAAAGCGATTTTTCTTTTTACAGTACATGCAAATCTTATTATAAGCAGGACAGTTGTATAACTTATGAAAAGTTCCACATTTTCTACATGGTTTTGGATTATTGTACTTATTTCCTTGATAGTTTGAAGAAGATTTAGTACTTTGTTGCTTTTGTTTTACATGATAGTCTTTCTTACAAGGCTGACTTTTTTCCTCTGAAGGTTGAAATTTATTACGTTTGATAGCTTCTATTTTATTTTCTTCAGTTAAAGTTTTCAGCTGAAGTTCTGCTAATTCAGAAGCTTTACACATTTTAATACATTTTTCCAATGTTAACTGATCTTCCCTTAATAATCTATCTTTGAGATTTTTATTTAGAATTCCACTTACTATTTTATCCCTTATTAAACTATCTTTTAATTCTGAAAATCCACAGTTGCTACTTAATTTCTTTAAATCGGTTAAAAGATCATCAAACGATCCACCTACATGTTGTGTTTGACAGAAAAATATATGTCTATCAACACTTTCGTTTGCTTTTGGTATGCAAAAATTTTCGAAAGCTTCAATTACTTTGTCAACATCCTTCTTATCTTCTTCACTTAAATTAAAAGTATTAAATTTTTCAAGTGCTTCTTCACCAATAATATGCAATAAAATAGCTACTTTAATTTCAGGTGATTTAGTAATACCACCAGATGCTAACATATAAATTTGGAATTTTTTGTTTCCATTTCTTCATATTTTCGCTTAAATTTCCTTCGAAACTTAGATTACTTGGTGGCTTTAATCCATCCATATTTAATTTAGGACTTTAAATAGTTTATATATACATATTTTTAGCCACTTCCAATAAAAATAAACAACTCACTTACCAGCGATATAAGTTTCGATTTCACAGTAAACAACTTCCCATCATGTTTTTGTTTAGAATATCTTTACCCACGCTGCATGGTTCTTCAAAAAAAGATTTTCTTTTTTAATCATCGAGGGGCTGCACCATGTTGTATTTTATATGTGTTGGGTAGTGCTCAGTGATGATTACAAGATGTACACAAACATCATTTTACAGTTATGATTAAAGATAACTGATGCAGTTACAGTTACATATATAACAAGCACATACACTTTCATATTGACCTGTTGATTTATTAATTATCATAATCTGCCCAAGGATAGTTTGAGAAGTACAATTATTTGAAGAAATCATAATATAGAAAGAATATTTTTCGGACATGACTTTGCCACCCACCATCGAGTGTAACAAGGGGATGCAGATGCCTGCACCAGTGCTAGTCATGTCTATATGCTCACAGAGCATCTCTGGAACCGACCTCCACCCTTAACGAGGTGTTCAGCAGATGCTCCGTTTGCTTAACCCCAAACCAAAAACAAACTTGACCAGCCAACTGATACATATGGGGCCCGTATGTACCACCCATTTAAACTGAAGCAGAGGCCAAAGCAGTGTGTTGGAGACAGTACCTCGCCCCTCAACTACCAGGATCCTCCTTTGCAGACTTACGAGTCCCCAACACGCACGTCAAACACGCGAGCAGTTTACTCTCAGTGAGGAGCTGAAACAAAGGGACGTAGCAATCTCTCACCTGGAGCCCTAACCTCCAAGAAGGAAAACACAAAGGGAGAAAGAAACGGAAAAGCAGAAGACAAGAAAAGAAGAAGAGGAAAGTGAGACAGATTACTGGGCTAACGTGGTAAAGACGCCCGTCTCACCAAGTCTCTCCCCTGAAGGGCTAGGGTACCTCGGAATTGCCAAACCCATACTCACAAGAGTGAGAGGTTATAATAACTGTATAGATTTCATTAATTGTAGACAAACTGAATTTTGAATTATTAAAAAAAAAAGCTAAATACTTTTATTACTTTCAACTATAAATGTTTAACTTCATCTTTAAGAATACAGATCAATATAAGTTTAAATTTTTCATCTCCATATAAATTTTTTATTCAAGAAAATTTCAGTATACAGTTTTTTTATTAAGATGTGAAAAAAAATTATACATGATTTATACACATTTTTCAAATGTTTTAAGTATAAGAGAAAAGGAACCTATAACCCGACTTTTATGCATCTAATGCTTACTTAACAGCTTTAATGTGTTCCCAACTAGCCAAACCAGTAAGAGGCCCTTTCTGCTCTCTGGTTCTACCATGAACTGTCAGCAACTGAAATTAAATAAATAAACTGTTACTTAAATACATAAACCCACATACAGTTTTTGTAAAAGAAATGAGATTCGATTAATATTGAACTAAAACAAATATCAGTCAAAGGCTTTAATTAAAGTAACATATTATTATGCAGCTTAATTAAGCAAAATCTACATGAAAATTACCTGATAAGCAGAAATTTGCTAGTGTTACATACAAAATTTTGAGTATTATGTATCAATGTAACCACCTTGGCATAATTTGGTGATTTTTTATTGATGAAAAGGTAAAAGTTACTTATCAGGTGCAAGTCGGCAAATTTTGCAACATTTTTTAAAGATTCACAGATTATCAATATTCATCTAAATTGGTAAATATTACAAACATATAAAAAACACTCTAGCAATTTTAAATACAAATTATAATTGTCAGATACGGATTATATGATTCATTAAAAAAAATAAAATACGTACATTTTTTGTGCATGTACACAACAATCTGTTTTCACTTAAGAAACAATAGAGAATTGCACAACACAACACCAGCATTGCACACTGGTTATTTATGAAAGCATCTCATCATTTTTCTCTTTAGCAATTTTGCAGCAAAATACTGTATTCCTACAGAAATTTTACCACAGTTTATGTTTTGTTGTTGTTGTTGGCAAATTCCACAAAAACATATTTTAAAGTTTTGTTTGGGACAAAAAATATCATAATTTGTCTATAGAGAACATTGGAACTTAAAAAGAGTTGCATATGAATATGGTGATGCTCTTTGACTGAAGAATTGTAATCAGCACAGTTGTCTGAAAAATAATTATGCATATGTTTGCCAAAATTTGGCAATCTTTGCTAAGGTGGTTGAGATAATACGTTAAGTACCAAATTTTGATTATTAACTTGTAAATACCTGATTTAAGTAGTGAGGAGGCTAATTAAAATCTCCTGACTCAGAATTTGATGATTGGGAATAAAATCTAATTATATTTAATATTTGAAATAAAGTAAATACATTATTTCTCTAATGTCTTGGTATTTAAATCAAAATAAATTTTTCAGTAATAATTATTTGAATAATGCTCAATTCAATTCAAATCTAAAATGGCTATCTCTTTATCTTGTGAAAATCTCTACTATTATATTACATAACACACAAAATATAAAACACATCTCTATCTATAAACACACAAAATATAAAACACATCAAAACACAATTTTCTTAAAAATTAGCTAAAGCTTACATCCACACAATCATTAAATCATATTCATTGAACATCATACAGGACAAAGTCTGAAATCTGGACTCATTGACACTTCTGCGATTCCAGATTTGTAATTTTTATTAGATCATCAGTTCAAATCTAGTAAGATGACATGAAGAAATTATAAAATTTAAAATATGAAATAACAGTTCATGAAATAATGAAGCATTTATGATTTTAAGAGAATCAAAATTTACAGAAACAGCTCAATATTTATTTCTTTGCTTTATTAAATATTTCTTTGAATATAAGTTGTTTAGGTTGTTTTTTTTTTTTTTTTTTTTTTTTTTTTTTTTTTTTTTTTCATTTGTTTGTTTGTGTGTGTGTGTGCTAACATATTCTCTTGAATTCTACAGGTAGACATAATTTTTTGTTCAGTTACAAAGTTCCATTGTTCAAGTCCTGTAATTGTCGTGTTCAGAATTCTCATAAAATTGTCAATCAAAATTTTTCGATTCTCAACAACCTGTCCGTCCCTTTCTTTACTATCAGTAGGAATATTTTCTGGACTTAGATCCATACTACAGATTTCTCCAGCCATTAGTTGACTGATGCTATAACTGCAGACATAGAGAAAATGTACAGACAAATCATACTACAAGATGCAGACTTTCATAGAATAGTCTGGCGTGATTCACCTTATAAACCAATTCAGGATTTTCGATTAACTAGGATTGCTTACGATACTGTATCAGCACCATACCTTGCAGTAAAATGTTTACAGCAGTTAGCAACAGAAGGAGCAAATAATTTCTATTTGGCTTCCAAGACAAGCCTTAGGAACTTCTACGTTAATGATTTGATGCCAGGAGCTAGTTCAATTACTGAAGCTATAGAATTACAAATGCAATTGAATCAGATGTTGTCATGTGCAGTATTTGTTTTAAGAAAATGGGCTTCTAACAGCAAAGAAGTCTTGAATTCAATTAATCCAGATTTGTGCTTATCAAATGTTTCTTTGAAGACGATGATACCGTAAAAACGTTAGGTATCCTTTCGGTATGAATTGATCATGCAAAAATTGTGGAAACATCAGTTGCAGTGGGATGAAAAGGTTCCTCCAGATATTGCATGTGAATGGAAACAACTTACAGAAGATATGCTATTTATTAAAAGTATCAAAATTTCACAATTCTTGTTGGTTGAATCAGATAACCAGTTTCAACTGCATAGGTTTTGTGACACCTCAGAGAAGGTGTACACCAATGCAATTTATTATCGTTCTCTGTTAGATTCTGAACAAATTAATGTTCAGTTGGTGATAGCCATGACAAGAGTTGCACCACTAAAAACCATATCACTTCCTCGATTGGAACTTTGTGATGATTGATGGACTTCACCTGTAAAGCTTTGGATACTTATATATCACAAGCTTATTTTCATACTGATTGATGATATTGTTAAGCTTATTTTCATACTGATTGATGATATTGTACTAGCCTGGATAGGATTTCATGCAAGCCAATGGAAGACCTTTGTCGCCAAGAGAATAGCAAAAATCCAGACTTTGTCTTCTCCTGACCAGTGGCATCATGTGAGTCGAAATACTAATCCTGCAGATCTTGCAATTCGTGGTGTGTCATCATCAGCACTTGTTACTTCATTGTGGCTACATAGTCCAGATTTATTGTATGATTTATTTCCTTTTCAGCCAACATCATCTGCACCACTACTGAATGATTCTGTGCCCGAGCAAAGATGTGCTTTACAGTCAACAACTGCTGTCGGTCACTTAATAAACGCTCATGATTTATTTAATAAATATTCTTCTCTCACCAAATTTAAACATATTATAGTATTATGTCTGAGGTTTGTAAACAACTGTAGAAATTCAGGAGATAAGGTAAATGGATTTTTAAAAACTAGTGAATTAACTAAAGCTATGCATTTATTAATCAAATTAATGAAATATGTTGAATTTAAGAATGAAATCAACATTTTAAGCAGAAATCAATCATTACCTTGTCCAAGCAAAATTTTATCTTTAAATCCATTTTTAGATTATTCATGTATTCTCAGGGTGGATGGTCGCTTGTGATATGCAAACCTTGCATATGGCTTTAGGCATCCCATTTTGCTGCCAAAGAGCCCATTTTAACTCATTTCATTGTTAGACATGAAATACTTTTGCACGCAGGTCCACAAATCATGCAATCTTGTATTCAATAACAATATTGGATCATAGGTGCTAGAGTTGTTATCAGATATTTAGATAGGAATTGTATAAGGTGTTGCAGAATTAGAGCATCTGTCACTAATCAATTGATGAGCGATTTGCCATCTAGTTGAGATTCCCCTGGTCCTGAATTTTGGGGCTGTGGAGTGGTAAAGCAAATCAGAGATCATTCAATATCTCTGGATCATTCAAGGCATATATAGCTTTATTTGTTTGTTTTATGACAAGAGCTATTCACTTAGAATTAGTAACTGATCTTTCAGCAGATGCTTTTATTGCAGCCCTTAAGAGGTTCATTTCCCACAGGCGCAAAAGCAGTGATATATATAGCGATTGCGGTTCCAATTTTGTTGCAGCAAAACGTAAACTCGTGGAGTTTGAAAGGCTTGTTAGATCTACAACTTATAACCAAAATGTACACAGATATTTGGTTGATAATGGCATTAAATGGCATTTAAACGTTCCACGTGCGCCACATATGGGTGGACTCTGGGAAGCTGGTATAAAATCAATATCATTTAAAATGAGTAGTTAATGAAGCAAGATTGACATATGAAGAATTTGAAACATTTCTCAAGCAATTAGAAACTTGTCTTAACTCACGACCTTTAAAAAATTTATCTAATGATACAAATGACTTATCAGCATTGATGTCTGGTCATTTTCTTATTGGTAGATCATTAACAAGTATTCCTGAATCAAATTACATTGAAGTTAATGTTTCCCATCTCACTAGATGGCAACATATTCAAAAAATGGTTCAAGAGTTTTAAGCGTTGACAAAAAGAATATCTGTGTCAGTTACAACAAAAACCAAAATGGCTTTTGCCAACTAAAAATCTTCAAGTTAATGATCTGTGTCTCATAAAGGAGGATAACTAACCTTCAACTAAATGGAAAATTGGTAGAATTACTCAGTTACATCCTGGTCTTGATAATATTGTTAGGGTTGTGACTATTAACGACTTCAGATGTCATGGTCAAAAGAACTATTACAAAACTATGTCCATAACCAATTTGAGTTTTAATTCATATGTATTATAAATTAAGCATTATATCATGATTTTAATGCTGTATTGTGTTTTTTGAATTTGCTGAATTGTAACCACTGAATGTTGAAATAGTATTTCAAGGTGGGTGGCATGTTCGTGCCTTATGTAAATTTTGATTTTGTTCTCTCCAAAAGGGCGCCAAACTATATCTATTGTACCAACTTACTCTTCTCACCACCAATAAACGCAATAACAAACGTGTGTGTCTACCTTCCATCCATTGTATAATATCATCTTCATTTATTACCACTTCTTCACAAATTCCATTAATTGGAAAATTTCACTTTTTTGTTTGCGATATTTGAAAAACCTTCAAATTTGTGGCTATCATCCTAAAACTAAGCTAGCATCTGCTATACACTGTTGGCGATATATGAGACTAGGACTAAAGACATGTCGTTCAACTAAATTTTGTCTTCCATTTGTCACATGCTGATGAAGCTAAGCCTGAATTATATTAGTTATTTACACCTATCTCCTGCACATGCTTAAGGCTCATTTGAAACCCAAATAAATAAATTTCTACATATACTTAAAGCTTATCCAAAGTGTCAGCACTAGATATTTTGCAGCCTAGTGCAGTCTCTGCAGGTCCTAAATTCTGCTGCTAAATGCCTCACCAAATTTTAAAAATTTTGTATCCCAATGCCTTCTTTAAATTTTAAAGATTTTGCCACGCTTCTCTAAATTCTAAAAATTTTCCCTCCTCTACATTCTGCTGCCCAGTGCAGCCACACCAGCTCTAACACCATTCCTAGGCTAATCTGAATATCAAATCAATTATTTTCAATTCAAACAGCACTAAATGTAATCTTTTGGCCTATAAGTATTATTTACAAAACCCTCTTTTTTTCATATAGAAAGAAATTTTTGTTAAATTCCTCCTCTTTAACATATTCAACAACCGAAGAATTGCAACATGCTAGAATGCAATTGTTAGAATAGTTCAAAATGATGAGTTTTTGAATGAATATAATCTTCTGAAGGAGAATCAAACATTAAACTCAAATATTAAGACACTTTTTTATCCCTTTTATCAACATGAATGGATTTACATGTAATGGAGGAAAATTAAGACAAGCCAACATCACACAAGGTAGAAAATAATCCTATTTTGTTGTTGCCCAAGAAACTTCATATTACACAAAATTATTTTCATGAATCTCATTCATACTGGGCATCTGCTATTGCTATCAGTAATTAGAAGAGAATACAGGATAGACAATGCTAGGTCAGTTATTAAACAGCAGATTTGTAAATGTGTGAAATGTCATTGTATACATGCTAAAACATCTGTCTAGATAATATCAGACTTACCATTATTTAGAGTCGTTAACATCAAAGGTTTTCTCCAGAGCTGGAATTGATTTAATAGTCAATTGATTTTAAGTCAAACCCAGTGTAGGTCAAGGAATAAAGCCAATGAAATGCTACATTTGTGCAAGGGTGTGTTTTACTACTAGAGTTGAACAAATTGAATTAGTAGGTAATCTATGTCAGAACTATTTATTGCCACTTTGAAGCTTTTTGTATTTCGAAGAGGAAAGTTAACAGAAGTGCTCAGTGATTGTGGTCCAACTTTTATTGCTGCTGCTAAGAAATTGAAAAAAGTAATAACTTCACTTAGTAATATTGCAGGAGAAATGACATTTTTTTCTTAAATTTTAATGTTTAAATAACAGAAGTAGAGCAAATAATGCATTTGAATCTTCTTAATGTTCACAGATGCAAGACAAAACTGCTGTTCTAAGACAAATCTTACAAGGATTCAACAGATTTCAAGCATTAGTGAGAGTAGCTACTTATATCTAAAACTTTTAATATGATTACTAGTATGAAAAATAATATTATCCTCCTCCTGAGAAATTACTCATCATTTCAGCTAAAGTTTAAATTACGATTTTAATCAGGCAACCCTGATTTTAGCTGGAAAGATTCTAAATGATTTTTCTTCTAACTATTGAATGAAGTAAAAGTGAGCAATAATATATATTAAATTTTTTTTCAAAATTCTTCTAATTATAAATGCTGTTTTAATTTTTGTTTTCAACCATAAATGTGTTTTAATTTTATTTATGATATGATAGTTACAATTTTGCTCTTTTTAAAGCTCCTCTTGACTCATTCTACATTATTTTCTCAAAATTGAATAAAAACAACTAGAATGAAACTAATGACATATTATTAATTTCATTTGATGTGGTTTTCTCTTACAATTTCTCACCTTGCGAAATCTTATAATCCAAAGAATTAATGATATTAAATAATTAACCAATAATAAAAAATCTAAGAATGATTTCTAATAATAACAAACCTGACATCCAGCCGCTTCTAACATTTGAGCATACTGAATAGTGCGCTGAATATCAGAGAAAATTCTAATTTTGCATGTAATTGGAATTTCCACCTCTTCATGAACTTTGCTAACTAGAGGGAAAAAAAGATAATATATATATATATATGGCATAAACTATTTCATAATACATGATGTGATCAAAAGCAACTGACATCTTGACATATTTGTTCTTCTGCAAATAAATGAGAAATTAACATGAGTTCACATTTTACTGCAGTGACAGCTGTCATTCTATCAGGAAAACTATCCAATCAATTAAAAAAATCAATTTATCATCCATTTATTTGTGGAAAATACTGCAGTTTGAACTGGATATGAATCTTGCAAAAACAAACAATGGTGAGTTCTGCAGCTCAAGTGGAACAGCATAAACTGACAGCAAATATAGTAAACTTCCAATTAACCAGGTTAACATTAGGAATGATATGCGTGATTAATGCAGAACAACTTATAACCCAAAGGCAATTGAAAAGAACACAGGAAAGAGAGTAACCAATATTATAATTACTAGAAAACTATTATTAAAAATTTACCTGTACTTTTCACAGCATTTTAATTAAATGAATTTGTTTACTTAGTTACACAAATTAAACCAGTATCCACAGCAAAGAGAACATATTACAAATAATGGATGAATTAACACCATTTGAAATGAAGACACAGAGTTATAAATAATAACAATTCCATATTTACAACAGAAATTGAACAATATCATTGATTTAAATCGCATAAAATGGTTGGTTAGAATTTTCTGTTTATGGCAGTTTTCTTTTCTTCAGATCAATGATCTTGTCTTGCAAAACTTTATTTTGTCCTTCAAAAGAGAATGATCTTAATCCTTTAAGTAATTGAGAAGGCAGCAATACTATTTCAAATAAAATTAGTGATACTACTTAGTAATAGTTATTTAGTGAAAAAAAAAGTAATACTATTTCAAGTGATGGAAGTAATAACACTAATCACTACAAAAAGTACTTGACAGTGAAAGGAGCCAAAACCAATGAACACAGGTGGCATGATTTTTATAACAATATGAAGGAATAGCAAGCTAAGGCTGGAGTGAAAAGGGTGAAGCTAATATGAGACTCTCTCTCAGTGAAGCATCTGCTGCTTGTTTCTGTTTACATTATTCATATATTTCAGTAGGAGTCAACATAAATAGATTAATAGCTGTATGCTTATTTATTTTCATGACTGAATAGTTTACTTTAAACAGATGATTTAGCAATGCTTATTATATACTGAATTATAAACAGTTAACTCTCAAACCATATAATATTATTCGATATGAAATTTTTCCAAATATTCTCTTTTTCTCTCTTCCATTTTTTCCAAACCGTTTTGTTTTACTCTGATGGTCCACAATAGTAAGTTCTCCAACATTCAACAATAAACCAATAAACAACCTTAACTTTTTCCCCATACAGATGGGGCTCAGTTAATCAACAACCAAATTAATCAGGAGTCTACAATATTTCACTTAATTCTATAGATACTTTGTATAGTTGTGGCCATGGCTTTAAGCATGCAAATTCAACAGCCACAACAATAAACCAGCTGAATATGATATATGCCTTATGGTAAAAAATAACCATACTGATACTGGAATAGATGCACCAAACAGTTGTTACAAAATAGGCAGTGCAGAATTGTCTAAAGCAGTGGTTCTCAACCATTTTTCTAATGCATACCATCTAAACAAAAACTGAAAAATTTTAGTACCACAATAACATTTCACAATAATTACTTTTCAGTTTCTCAATAAAAGTATTAAAAAACGCAACTTATCAAAGATGCACACATAAAAAATATCAGATTAAAAATTGGTTACTTTCTTAATTATCTTTAAGATTTTAAATTATATTATAACATCTTTAATTCTAAAATTTAGAGTGAAATGTGGGCCTGTTTTTGAGAGATTTTCATTATGTCTAGTTTTATTTCACTTAGTTTTCACTTAAATTAGGATCCACTTTTAATTTTGTTCTGTACTTGTTTTTTAAATATGATATGGAAGAAAATCCTTCTTCACACAAGCAGGTTGTGTAAAAGGCAAAAAACATTCAAAAGCTTTATTTGAAATACCTTTAATTTTTCTTTATCCCCAGTTCAGCCAAATATTGGCAAATGTGTTATTTTTTAAATCTTTAGTTAGAATTCGATCACAGGAAATTTCTGTCAATTGTTCTTTTTCTTCACAAGATAAAATTTCAGGTACATTTGAACAAAATGGATTTCTAATCCAATTTTCTTTTCTATAACCCTAAGGAAAAGTACATGTTGAAATTATCAATGAAAGCAATGATTTCTAATGCCGGATACTAATTCTGCTTTTATTTTCAAGTTATTTTCCATTAGAACACTTTCTTAAAAGTAATGGAAAGCTTAAAATATTATTATCCAGTTTTTTTTTATTATTAACTCAAGGTTTTATATATATATATGTGTGTGTGTGTGTGTGTGTGTGTGTAAGATAAAATTATATGAATCAGAATTATAACTATAAACATTAATTCTTCCTTTCTATTCTAAAATCGTAATAACTTACCTGCATTGCATCATTCAAATTAATCATGCAATCTTACGTAACCGTTAATACCAGATGCCTCTTGACGACCAATCACCGAATTGCAAACCAAAACTTTTCTCTTCGCGTGCTTCCATCTTTCATAACTACGCACTTCAGCTTTTGCTCTCTACTTTGTTAAGATGTAATTTCGCTGGCTTGCTACTTGTGTACTGGCTACTTGTGTGGCTTGTGTACTGGTTCCTTCAACAGAGGCCTGCTCTGTACAGTTGTTCCTTTTACCCTCTTCATGCAAGATAATGTTGGAGGCTCTCATTTTATGAATGCGTGTAATTTTATTATTATTATTATTATTATTATTATTATTATTATTATTATATTATAATGGAATGTATTAATGCAGTTCTCAAAGGCCAGTTACCTTAATGCAAGGAACGGAGGCCTTTTCAAGTAACTGCCTAGGCACCCTGGGCCACCAGTGCAGAGAACACACTGGTTAGCTCAAGAGGACAGCCCTATTGATGGATATGTTTGTTTAGAAGTATTGCGAGGCTTCCAGTTTGGCAAAATCAGAAATTGTAAATGAAAGATGATAACAGTGAAACCATAAATTCTGAAAATCTTAATCCTATTATTTATGATGTTAAATTATAATTTATCAGTATGGAAATAAGTATCATAAATATTTATGTGCATTACATTCAATTATAAGAAATAATTATGTAAAAGTTTTTGTGATATTCTGTAATAACAAGAACCTTCCCTGATGAATTATGATTATGTGAACTCTCAAACAAAAAGACTTTTGGACTGAAATGCTGAAAAATTCAATAGGACTCTAAAAATTAAAAAAAAAATTATTTTATAAAATTTGATATTTATAAATTATACTTTACAGGACAAAAATTTTATGATTTATTTATTTTTATTTTTTTTAATTTGCTTGTGCTTTAACTCTTTTTCTTTAAAAAGGCTTCTCTGTCGCTACGCCTTTTTCTTTTTGAAGGGGGGAAATATGTAAGATAAAATTATATGAATCAGAATTATAACTATAAACATTAATTCTTCCTTTCTATTCTAAAATCGTAATAACTTACCTGCATTGCGTCATTCAAATTAATCATGCAATCTTACGTAACCGTTAATACCAGATGCCTCTTGACGACCAATCACCGAATTGCAAACCAAAACTTTTCTCTTCGCGTGCTTCCATCTTTCATAACTACGCACTTCAGCTTTTGCTCTCTACTTTGTTAAGATGTAATTTCGCTGGCTTGCTTTCTATCTCAGCAATATCAAAAATGTAAATCCTCTGTGGAAAGGCACGACTAGAGTGCCAAGTGATTGTGGCCACAAATATCAATTGGAAATAAAAATGGAATTAAAACTGCTTCGACTGCCAAGGTCTTTAAATACTACGCAATCAAATTCTTCTTCAGTATGGATCTAATCACGCATCTACAGTGTTCCGTCTTTTCCTTTGCTTTTATTATGACATATATATATATATATAATTGCATTTTATTTTATCTCTGATGGTAAACAAATTAACACTTTGTCCTTGTAATCCTACATTTATTGAATTTAACTTTCTATGAATATCAACTAAATATGCTAAATATGCCAACCATAATTTCTGAAATAAACATTTTTGCAATTCAAATATTTAGTCATAGAGGAAAATTTGAATTTCTGATCAAAGTTCAAAAAGACAATTTAAAACTTTGCCTCTGGATAACCACCTTTCTTAGGAATGTTGCAAAAGCATTTCATGTTCACTGCCCATCTCTTGACATAAAATCGTAAATATTCTTGAAGGCTCGGCTTTTAATAAAATTAACAAATCTCACTGTTTAATTCAAAATGATTTTCAAATTTCCAGGGATTGTTTTGGCTACTAAAGCCTCACAATGAATGAAGCAATGAACAAATTTAATTTTAGGTCCTACTTTTTTTTATTTCAGAAATAACATGAAATGTTTTCCTGTTAAAACCCGAGTTTCATCACTATATACAGCAATACACTTATTAAAAGGAATATCATTCTCGAACATAAAACTACCAATTACTTTGTAAATTTAATTTGGAGTTGCTCTATCATGAAGAGATTCACAAAATACTCTTTGGCAATTCGTTTATCTTCTTCAAAAGGTGTGTAAACTAATAATTGAAAAAAGTTTGTTATATCAGTATATTCATCCAATTACAATGCGAAATACGCACAGTGTTTTATTTTTTTAATAAGTGTCTCTTTTATAAAATTTGCCATTTCATTAATTCATTGACTTACTCTATCATTTGATAACAGAATATTATTAAGTTCATTAGCCGCTTTTTCATTGAATAATGTTAAAACGATATGTTTTAGCTGCTGGTAATGTAAGGTTTTCTCTTATAGTGTAAGCCTGCGTAGTCTTAGCAATTCTTAGACTTACTATGTAACTAGCTTCCAAAGTATTTTCACTTGAAGTAACAACACCTTTCATTACTTGTTTACTATTTTTTAACTCTCAGAACTTCCTCATAAAATATTCTTCAGATTTACCCTTTAAATTAACAAGCTTAGATTCAAGGTGTCTTTTAAGAAATGTTGGTTTTGTGCTTTGATTGGATAACAGTTCACTGCAAACAACACATTGAGGCTGAGAGTCCATTTCATCTCCGTTCCAAGTAAACCCAAATGATAAAGAATTTTCATTAAATTTTCTAAAAACAATGTTTCTTATCACTATTCTTAGTGCTAGTAAATTGTCCTGAATCCATCACCTGCAGATCATCCCTTTTGCACTTAGTCAACAGCCATTTTTCCGTTTTGAAAATCAAGGTTTGTTTTATTTTTTTCACAAATATTTAAATGCACAATATATTACAAGTTCTTTAAAAATAAATGACAATATTCTCAAATCCCATAGAAAAGTAAGAAGTACAAATCAACAAAAAGACAAAATACCTGCTGTTGGAGACAGGAAATTGACGTAAAAAAAAATTCTTCTAATTGAAGATAGAGCAATACGAGTCTGGAAATGGTGGCGACATAAAGTATAGACATTTTAATAAATCAATCAACTCTAAAAGAATTAATTAGATACTACAGTCAAAAGTCTTTAATTCGGACCTCAAAGCTACAAACTTTCTGTGCATGCGTAAGTATAATGGATGGTATAAGCTAAGCTAAAATTATCTAATTATCTATTTCAGTAAATGTTGCAGATTGCGTTGTTCCTTAATCTTCTAATTGGATCCGTCGTATTATTTTTCGCAGACTGTTAGAGCAATTTTATTAAAGTAAGCTTGAGCTTTCTATTATGTCAAAAAGAACTTCCGATTCTGGAGCTGCTAAAGGATTCTACAAAGCAAAAGCATGTTTCGATGTCCATCAAACAAAACGTGGAATTGCTTCAAAAAATGGATAAAAGCATATCCTTTGTTTCTCTAACCATTCCGAAATCTGCTTATCAATTTCATGCTGCTCTGCACGGGGGATCAGCGCGGCACGCGCAATGAACTGGAAGTTGATCTGTCAGCACTATCCTCATCTTCAAGGCAGATGTTTTTATTTTATTCAGCTTATAATTCCTTACTGAATGTAGTATTTCATCTCGATCTACTCCGTCTTTGACATAATTTAAATCAAATTCTTCGTCATTATAAATATCACGAATACACATCAAATAGTTTTCTGGTAGGAATTTTCTAATTTCGACTATGCGTAATGTATGCTTTACGCATGCGCGCGTTGAAAGAAATGTTTAATAAAGTAAATAAATAAATATTAAGCTTTTTTTTATAAATTTTGATACCCTTTAGATCATAATTGCTCTTTATTTCATAAATTACAGTTTCATATTTTTAATTTTATAATTTCTGCATGCCATCTTACCAGATTTAAACTGATGATCTATAACCCGGAAAAACCGATAATACGGAATCGCCGAAGTCCCGATGAGTCCTGATTAAAGACTTTTGACTGTATTATGTTTTTAGACGAACTTATTTTTATTTACTATTAAGTACAACATCTATTTCTATTACCCCTTTTAAAAACATCATTTATGACAAATTTTGTTATAGCTATGGTTAAAAGAATATTTGTGAAAATATTTTGCTTAAGTCCTTGAACAAAGCTCAGATCGCATAAATTTACAACTGTTAGAGAAGAAACTTTAACAGGATGTTGGAGTATTTAATTTAATAGTTAAAAATACTTTGTTTCTTTGCATACTACCTATTTTTCTCTTGTGTACCACCAGCAGTACATGTACCACCAATTGAGAACCGCTGGTCTAAAGCACTGAGATAAATCCCTGTATCCGAATCATAACAACAGCCTCAAACCATTACATTTCCATAATCAAATTTCACTTTCACTGAATTTTTCACACAATTCAGTTGTGGGAATACAGTTTAACTAATACCCTCAATATACATGCATCCCATCAGAATGCCAGATAGTGTAGTGAAATTCATCAATACTACTAAGAATTTCAATGTCATCAAATAACTTCTGTAAATGATGCTTGGCAATGGTTTCATAATATTTGGTTTATATACAGTTAGTTGCTTAGTCATGAAAGCCTAGATTTCAGAGCTCTCAGCATACTCCCATTGTTATAGTATTATATTTGGAAGTACTGAAATTCAGTGCTAATGCTTTCATCTAATTCCCTTCAATTTTGTTTTCTAACCCTCTTCAGCACTCTTTGGTTTCTATCTGACAGACTTCTACCTGGTTAACCAGGTCATGGTGGTACTGTCACAGCTGAAACATATTTCCATATCATTTATGGTGGAATAGAAAATTATTGAATTTTTGTGAATAAATTTTCAATGAGAGTGTAACACCTAATCACATAATGATGTTCATGTTTTTTCCCCATTCTATGTTTACCACTTTGCAACGACTGCTGTGAACTTATCTCCTTCCTATCTGAGTTTATTCTGTAACATAAGTGATAGAATCCCTTATTGCCCAGAACAGTCTGGATATTTTTTATCATATACTAAATCTAATATATTTAAAAATCTAGTATTTAAATATTTTGCATCAACTTGCTACTGCAGCACTTTCTTAATCAAATAATGAAAATGCATCTGGCATATTTTCTGTTACAAACTAAACAATGAAAAATTAACTTAAAAAATCAATTACCTAGTAAAAAAATATTAAATTTAAAATTTGGCTTAACATACTTTGGAATAAATCATTTGCTTTGATTTTGCTAACAAAAACAACCACATTTATGTTCTAATTAATCGAAAGTAATTTAGAACTGATAATTGTAATTAGTACATGAATTAGACAAACATTCATATTAAAAATCAATTCCTTTTCTTAAGTATGCTCATAAAGATTAAGTAATAAAGGCTATGCCAATAGAAAATGAAAGAGAAGCTTGTCATTTCCATAAATTCAAAGATGGATTGCAATAAGAAGAGCTCATACATTCTCTAGGTTGCCCATACACTCTTTTATGTATCTTAAAATATACAATATTAAAATAACTTTTGTTAAAGCCATTATCATTGTTTAATGCATTTTGATCCCATACTGTGAATAATTTTTTTAAAAAAAGTCTCTGATTTATTTCATTTATGAATCTTCCAAATGTTAAACAATCTTTCAGAGGTTTAAACAATACACTAAAAGCAAATGCAATATTATTTATATTAGATATATTGCTAAAGAAATATAAAATAGGCTTAAATTACAAAATTCTTTTATTAATGGAGTTTAGTATTTTATTATGATGGTCACCGATTAGGATGGCATACTTCAACAGTATATACTGATGGTAGTAATTCACAATTTTCTGCAAATGAATTAGTAACATTATTTAACAATAATTTTTGCATATAGCTTTTATAGAAATATATACGCTGCCTGACATAGACAGTGCTCACAATGAAGAAAGAAATGTATTGCCAAGCAAATTTCTGTGACAGTACATGTACAAATAATGCAAATGATTGCATTTTCAGGCCACTCAAATAATTAATATGTGGGATATAAACATCTAAAAAGGTATAAAACTTCTATTTCAATATAATACATATTTCTAAGTCTGATAAACAGAAAATATATGATAATGAATGTCACTGCGCTCAGTATCAATGAACAGGATGCATTCACTACAGTATTCATGTTAGACCTCCATATCACTGTTTGGTCCTTGGACCGTAATTTTGAAGGAAATGCAGTTTGATATCATGGCTGGTGAGCAGATATAATGATAATAAAATCAGAAAGGAAATGTAGAATGTTGTAGGTGGACTACAGCAGACAAATGGACATCAGAGTGCAATAATCACTGCAGAAAGTGTCTAATAGTAGTTCATATCTAGTGTGCATTACAGGTGCATTAATGGGATGCTACCGTATTGATGGTATACTGTAGCCTCATTTTTTCCTAGATCTTCAAGAATCCAAAATCCAACAATATGCTGCTTCAATCAACATAAATGCATTACAAAGTAAGTGCTCTCTACCCAGCATGATCCTCTCATCTTTTTATTAATAAAATATTTGTGAGATTTGATTGGACAGCAGTTAAATACCTCATCTTCTCTGTGAAATGAAGATGAATTATCAGGTCATATCAACAATCAATGATGATTTGGTCACTTATAGGTTTTAATTCATGAAGTATGAGGTCATATCAACAATCAGTGATGAAACACATATGTTTAGTTCAATGTGTTAAGAATACATATCTCAAAATGGAGCTGCAACACTTTTTTTATGCACTATATACAAAGTGTCTTATTATCGCATATCTTTAGAAATTAGTTTATTAAATGCTTGATTATCTACCTATGTAAAAAGTTTTATCTGTTTAATATCAATAGCTTATGGTGTGATATTTTTCTGTGTCAGGCATCATATATTGCTATTTAATATTACAAATTAATTAATATTTCAAATAAAATAAATTATCTAGAAATATTTCATGAAAGATGTTCTGAAAGGTCACCTTTCAAAAAGAAACACTTCATGAACAATGGTGAATAGTACTGAATTTATCACAGTCAAGCAATAATTTTAAAATCTAGAACTTAAATTGTTACCCATTTCTTTTAGCAAAATCCAGTCATCTTGTAGAAAAGCACCATAATGCCCTCGGCGTGCAATTGACTGAGGACAACCTAAATTCAAATCAACAGCATCACAATGACCAACTGCGAGTTTGCAGGCTTCAACAAAGATATTGGGATCATTAGCACAAAACTGAAAAAATAATTTAAGAAATAATTTCTTTTGCTGTTGCAATTACAAATACCACAAAATTAGCCCATTCATTGTTAAATACAGTTTTAAAGATACTATGGAAGAGGTACTATTTATATAGGTTAGTAGTTTATAGAATCATTCATGAATAAGTGAGATAACATATTTTATGATTTTAATTGCAATTTATTTCTATTTTTCAAAGTATTTCATTTTATTTGCATATATCCAAACTGTTTCTGGTACTGTTCTGTTATCAGGATCGGATTCAGAAGTGTATGTATGTATGCACACGTGTATGTGTATTATGTGTGTACATACACAGATACATTTGTGTATATATATACTAGATGCATACATGAACATATCCATCCATCCATACGTGCATGCATACATAAATTTCTGGACCTGGTCCCCCTTATAACAGAACAATACCATGTTTCTTTAATAAACAAAAACAGCTTTTTTCCAATGGAGTACATGAATATGTAAATAAGAAAATTTTGATGACTTCCCCCCCCTCCCAAAACAGATATAAAATCAGTACAAAAGTTGCTCATGTATTTTTTTTTAATTTTATTGAGAAATAAAAGTATCATTTCTAAACAGAACATGAACAATTAGCTCATATTTTAACCTCATCATTTATGATACTTTATAAGTTACCTTTTTTTTTTTTTTTATTTATCACTATAAAGTAGCATTTATATACTACCCAATTATTTTCAAAAAAGTAGTAAATTTACACAAACCAAAAATTCATAATAATACCTTACTGGTATTCCATGGGATGTTAACACTGGCAAATACTATCTTAAGATTCAATAAATTCAATAAACATCATTGTTGCACTACAGTGAAAAAGGCTCTTTTTTAAGTGTAGTTACATGTATACGGTATTTTCTCCTTCTTTTCTGTAGCTTTCATGGTGTAATTGGAAGCATACTTGAGGCATATTCGAGAGGTCCAGGGTTCGAATCCCGGCGAGAGCATTACACATTTTTCACATCTCCTGTTTTTAAGGAAAAAACCTAATGCCTGTACACATGAAAGGATATCTAATTTAGCAAATATCTTTTTAACATACGAAGACATTTTCTTTTGCTATATATTACTCAATACAATGCTACAGATAATTCATTAAAATGCAATATATTACTAAATACAATGTTCAGTGGTAGGACAAATATTAAATATTTTTAACATCCGGTGCACTCTCTGCAGGTTCCAAAATCTAACGCACTGCACCTCCCTAAAGTAAAATAGATTTCCTGCCCCTAAACTCTGCTGCATTATCCTAAAACCTAAAAAACATCTTATCTCTAAATTTTCCTCTCCATTGCTTTTCTACGAGGGCCATCCAGGAAGTAGATTACGTTTCCGTCTGTGTCCGCTAGGGGCGGGGCTAGCGCGGCCATCTTGGGGTCAGAGCGTTGCGCAGCTCAGTCTGCATCTAGCCGTGCTAGTGAGAGGTTCGTGCTGTGCTCCGTTCAGATACTGTGACGGTTTGAAATGTCTGCGTTAATTGAAAATCCCGCGAGCTGCGAGGTGCGCTCAGTAATAAGGTTTCTGACTGCAAAAAACTGTAAACCGATAGAAATCTATCGGCAGCTTCGTGAAGTGTATGGGGACAACATTATCACTGAAGGTGGAGTGCGTCAGTGGGTCATAAGATTTCAAAATGGCCGAACCAATGTTCACGACGAAGATCGAAGTGGGAGACCCAGCATAGTGACCGCCGAACTTCTCGAAAAAAGTCGATGCTAAAGTCCGTGAAAATCGAAATTTCACAATAACGGAACTTTCTTTGAGTTTTTCCACAAATTTCGCGAAGTTCGTTGCACGAAATCATCAGCGAAAAGCTTGGTTACCACAAGTTTTGTGCAAGATGGATTCCAAAAATCTTGACAGAGGACCACAAAAATCAGCGAATGGCTGCAGCGTTGAACTTTTTGGACGCTTACCATAAGGATGGTGACTCTTTACTCGATCGCATCGTTTACTGGTGACGAAACATGGGTGAAACATGTGAACTGTGAAACGAAATTGCAATCAATGCAGTGGCACACAAGTTCTCCCCAAAAACCCAAGAAATGCATGCAAACAATGTCGGCAAGGAAGATGATGGCGACTGTTTTTTGGGACAGAAAAGGTGTAATTTTGGTGGACTTCCTGGAAAGAGGCACTACAATAAACTCTCAAAGGTATTGCCAAACTCTCCAAAAACTCAGAAGAGCAATTCAAAACAAGCGCAGAGGAATGTTGAGCTCTAAGATCTTGTTGATTCACGACAACGCCCGGCCCCACACGGCAAATGTCACTCGTAAAGTTCTTGAATCTTTTAAGTGGGAGTTGTTTCCTCATCCGCCGTACAGTCCCGACCTGGCACCGAGCGACTTCCACCTATTCCCAGCAATGAAGAAGTGGCTGGCTATGCAGCGTTTTGATGACGACGCACAGCTGCAAGAAGAGGTAACGAAGTGGTTGAAGGCGCAGGCGGCCGAATTTTTCGACGAAGGAATTTCCAAGCTCGTACATCGCTATGATAAATGCCTTAATTTGTATGGTGACTATGTAGAAAAGTAGTATTTGAGTGTGGCTTTCATCTGTATATAATAAAATTTGTTTCCTATACTTTGTTTATTTTTTTATTCCAAAATGTAATCTACTTTCTGGATAGCCCTCGTATTATTTTAAATAACCAGTTATTTTATATGATTTAGATCAGTACTATCACTTATCTCTTCTGTTTCCCTACCAGGATGTAAATTAGAAAAGTATAGTACAAAGACCGAAATCCGGACGTCCATTATCCGGAATGATCTAAAATCCGGACCTCAAAACCTACAAAAACGTTTTTTCTTGTAGGCTTTACGCATGCACATTTGATTCCCCAGCTCCAGGCGTAATAAAACATCTGTAGAGTTCCAATTCTTAATTTCACTTCGCCATTAAATAAAACAACTCATTATTGAAGAAACAATCATTTTAGCATAAATTTCTACGATCAGCAATTTGCCTTCGTTGCTGTGTATCTGCTTGGCATACATCTCAAACCAAAACATTCCACATAGATACATCAGTGATCTAACACCAACCTGGCGAATCATTTACTATAATACTTTCCTTTCATCACTGCATGTTTACCAAAATGTGACAACTTGAGTAATGACTCGTGTAGCAATGCCTAAACAATTTTTTTTATGTTAATAATTGAATAATAAAGGAGTATGGTAACCTTTTATGTTGACATTACACTTGGCAATGATTACAGATTTAAGTTAAATGCGCTAAAAAATATTGGCGAGGAAACATTTACCAAAACTCTCTTTCCGTGTATTAAAAATAGATTTTGTTGATGATATTCATAAACTCACAGATTACTTTAGGGCTATTTGAATTAAGAATAACTGATTTGTTATTCACATAAATGCAGAATCAGCGCCAGGGCTTGCATGGCTGCACCAAGTCCCAGAATTTAGGACCCACAGAGACTGTATTAGGCGGTAGGATATCTAGTGCCGGCCCTCAATAAGGCTTAAGTACATGTGAGAATTTAATTATTCAGAATTCTGATAAGCCTTAAGCATGTGCAAGAAATAGACATAAGTATAATAAATAACTAAACTAATACAATTCAGGCTTAATTGGCTTAGTGTGCGATAGAAGCAAGATAAAATTTACCGGAACAACTTGTCGTTATTCGCCAAGCTCATGATGCATAGCCAAATATGTATAGTAAAGGATAGCTAAATTTGATGATGATAGCCACTAATTTTAAAGGTTTTCGGTTATCACAAAATAAAGGTGAAATTTTCCAATTAACTGATTTTGTAAAGAAATGTGGAGAAGTGGTAATAAATGAAGATGATATAAAAGAAGTTTTTCATTATGTTGACAATGTTTCTCAATCATCAATCAATTAATGAATGGCAAAATCTGTAGTATGGTTCTAGGTCCAGAAAATACCGCTACCAATAGTGAAGAAAGCGACAGAGAAGTTGCTGAAAACGAGAAAATTTCGATTGACAAGTTAGTCGGAATTACGAAAACATCAGTTACAGGACTTTAACAATGTAACTGAACAAGAGATTATGTCTGTCTACAGAATTAAAGAGAAAGTATTAGCACAAAAAACGAAGCAACTTAAACAACTTAGATTGAAAGAAATGTTTAATAAGGTAAACAAATAAATATTAAGCTTTTTTTTTTTTTTTTTTTTTTTTTGTTTGTTTGTTTTTGTAAATTTTGATACCCTTTAGATCATAAATACTTTATTATTTCATAAATCACAATTTCATATTTTTAATTTTATAATTTCTACATGCCATCTTACTACATTTAAATTGATGATCTAATATCCGTAAAAATACTAAATCTGGAATTGCCGAAGTCCCGACAAATCCGGATTTCGGACTTTGCACTGTACAGCCCCGTTCACATGCAACGCTCCTTTGCACAGCTGACATTAGCAAGAGGAGAAAAAGGAGACATGAAGGAGTTTTGTCTTTAGGACCCGTTCAGAAGACCACTGTCTTCCTTCCCTTTACACCTAAGCCTCTGTGAACAATCCCGTCTCCGAACTGGCAGATTTCTAATACTGTTTATGCATTTTTAACGTTGTTTACTGTTGTTAATTTTGTAATCTGTACTTTCGCAACTGGTACCTGAACCATAATGGTTCCTGAAAAAATATATGCTTTTTAATTATTATTATTATTATTTTATAAGCTGTTATTTAGTTCACTCTTGGTGCTTGTCGCTATGGTTAAAATATGGTCATAGATTTTTAAACTGCTTCCCGATAAGATATAGAATTACAACTTTGTACATACACTGCTTGTGGATGTGGTGTCATGCTTCTGATTTTTAGAGGATTAGATTTTTTTCAAATTTAAAGTTGAAATGATTTTTTGCAAATATTAACAAATAAACTGAGAAACTCAGAATGTTATAGTTATCACTATAACACACTGTGGAGGAAAAAAAAATATTAAATG